GGAAACTTCCTAGCAGTAAACTTTTCAGCCTGTAAAACTAAAGTTAAAGTATTGATCTTCTTTTGAAGTATGATGTTTTATTCTTATTTTAGAAGAAAAGAAATCACTAATAATTGATGGTGTGTGGGAAATTATGTATCAATAATTATGACTCAAATTTTTGTGAGCTTGAAAATAATTTTCAAAAAGGTATCTTTTATTACTAAAGTGGTTATTTTATTTTTAATGATAGAATTTAAAAATAATTATTTTTAAAGCTTTTACACTAATAGGTATAAAAAAGAAATCAAAATCCCTATTTTAAAATCAGCACAATCAATTGTAATTGTTATCTAGCGCAAATCCCCAAAATGGCCAAAATCAGAAATCACTGCTTCTGTGGTGAAGCCAAAATATGGCTCTAAAGATCAGCTGTTTTAAATCTCCACCTTTAAAATGAATTATCTTCTGTTCTGTCAATGGACAAACTGGAGTATAATTGACTATTCCACCTTTTAATATCACACAAATAGGGGTAAGATTATCTAAAACTCTAAGGGTGTATTTTTTTCTTGTTATCTGACTGTGCTGTTCATTGGCAGATTCTCAGTTTTTAAGTTATTATAATTGCTAGTTAACATGATAAAATTCAACAGACCTGAAAGACACATTGGAAGGTTATCAATTAGAAACTTTATTTAATGACATGCTTTAGAGGTGCTGAGGCAGGTACTAAGCAACCAATTCAATTTAATAATACATTCAAAGTGAGATGAACACCATCCTTAATAACAATTACCTTATTACACAGCAAGAATAATAACCTAATAATCAAATGTCTACTAAAGAATAATATAATCTAATGCCTATTAATAATCCAATAATTAATGACTATCAATACTTAATAATCTCATGCTAGTAAAGAATAAAGAAATATAAAACAAATGATTCAGATACAAGTAGAGGTAGCCAAAATATAAAGAAAAGCTTCCAGTAAGGTGTTTGGTGCCAGGAATCACACCAAGGACAAAGAGACTCGAGCGTTCCACTTGCCACAGATACACTGCTCACTAAAGGAGATGTGTAGGCTATCATTTCTAATGACTACGACCATTAAGAGTTCGAACGTGGCTTCTCAGCCTCTGATCTCACATCCATAGATACACTAAACATTCACAATTTCTCTTTCCAAGTGTATTATTCTTAATGGAACAAAAGCATTAGATTATAAGTAAATTTAGGACTTTGTATTTTCTTCACTCAGTAATATTTTTTATTAAAACAAATCAGGATTTTGGTTTTGTATATTAGTCCCTTATTAGTTCCACTTTTGTGAATCACACCATAGTCATTATTACTTGATTAATAATTTATAGTTGAATGACTGACATAGTTGATTTATTGATTTAATATGATAATCCTGAAACTCTGAAGATCAAGGTAATATGAACTGCTCTAGAAAAATAAAAATCACTGTACTAACTGATGATAAAAGTGACTTCCCCTAATTTCTATACGTGAATGCAATGCAGCTTTCTAAGAACAGGTCAATGTGCAGGGAGCAAGCCGGGGTTCCAGTCCCACCCCATCATTTATTACTGTGTGATCTCAGGAAGATAAGCTCTCAGGTAGATTAAATTATAGTAATGGAAGGTCTCAATACTCTGACATTGAAAAGGGGGTAGGGAGATGAAAGTAAATCTCATCAACCTTTGTCATAGGCTCATTTTTAACATAAACTATGAATAAGAAAGACCTTTGAAAACTGTGAAGATCTAAAAAGTAAAAATCAAAAATCATTACTATCATTACTGCCATATTATCTTATAAGAAACCCATAGTCTGTTAGTGAAAGGAGCATGCTAATTTCCACAGACAAGAAAAAGACAGTATTTTAACGGAGACTAAACTTCTACATCTTCTACTGTGCTTCCCATACTGACAGTTTCTTTCATAAACCAGACTGAAATGAAATTTGAATTTGTTCAATTCTAAGAACTCTTGTTTTCAAAAGCTTCCAGGATAAATCTAACTTACAATGTGGCTATTTCCAGTATATGGCTACACAAATGATGAAATAGAGTTAGGAAATTTCTAATTAAACATAAATATAAATTTTAAAAGACATCCACCAGAATAATATTAAAATAAAAGGCAATATTATTAGATTATCACTGTCCCAAAGAGAATGCTTCAGCTTTAATATTTGCAATCTTCTGGTAAATATAAAAGAGGAGATAGCTTTTTCTTTGCTCAGCTGGAAAAGAGGATCCAGCTCACTGACTGCCAAAGGTCATAGTTTCTTCCTTCTCAGCAGAGTGGTTTATGGGAATGTACAAAAATACATTTTGTACTTTCTACCTAGGCTATGTCTGCATTTTAGTCATGAAAGGGGGATATGTTTCTATACTCATCTTATCCAGTTGCCTGTCCCATATGCCTCGCTAGGAGCTTTTACATGGAATGGTCCCCAACTGCTTACTTGAGTCTCCCTTCCCAGACAGCAAGCTTACTAAGGGAAGCAACCATATCTGTCATCTTTCTTTCATCTAGCCATTAACTCCATAAGCAACACTCAGAAGATGCTCAAGAAAGGTTAGATGAATGATTTACATTTATAGTAGCTGGACTTTCTTTAGATTTTACAAAAATACAACTAGCAAACATTTGTTGCAAGAGCCTTACATAAGTTAAAGCACTTAAACTTAATGAAATTAGGTACTTGAATAGAATAATTACTTAAATTGTACCTAAGTTATGCATATGTAAATGTATTAATAAAATGCATTGAACAGTTTATTCAGCACATTTATCAGTATCTACTATCCTCTAGTTCCCAACCCCAGCAGCTGGACACACAGAGTCAGACAGACCCCATGCTCTGAGGAACTTGGTGTGTCTGAAGAAATCGCCCAGGAAGGATCTGATGAAGGCATGTGCTAGAGTCAGGTGTGGAGGGGGAAGCAGTGCAGCAGGACAGGAGGGTGCGCTGGTGTGGGAGGGAGGCTTCCAAGAGGAGAGATACTGCAAGTGAAGTTTGAACAATAAAATTTCCTTTCAAAAACTAAAAGAGGCATGGGCCAGGGAGATAGCTCAGTAGAACAGGCTCTTGCCTGGCAAGTGCAAGGTCCTGAGTTCAATCCCTGGTACCACAAAAAGAAAAGAAAGAAGAAAGAAAGAAAGAAAGAAAGAAAGAAAGAAAGAAAGAAAGAAAGAAAGAAAGAAAGAAAGAGGCATATGAGGAAGTAAGACCAAAGGAAGAGACCAATACTTCTATTGACAGGAAGACTGCACACAGGAAAATAGCAAAAGATAAAGGAAATATGTAGAAAACCTAGCACCCCCAGATTGTGCAAAGCCAGTTGCAGCATGAGAGGGCTTAGAATCTACCTAACACAGATTAGAAGAATAGCTGGGATGTTCATTAAAAATAAAAGAAATTTTAGATCAGCCAATAGAGATAGTAGTAAGAAAATGGTAAATATACTTTCAATGCAAGGTTGGTTGTGTGATTATCCTGATTCAGATTGTAGATAAAAGCATATTTCTGAAAATAAAAGAAAAGAGACAAATCAGGTATGACTTTGTATGTTTTAAAAGATAATTTAAAATCTTGAGAAATAAGAATTTTCTTTTTACTGTAAAAAGTAGTATTTCTTGTCTCCCTAGAGACCGCATCTGCAGGCATACTTATGTCTATCACTGAATCTCATGCTATCTTCAGTCAACAATTGCATTTCAAATGTCAATACCAAGCAGAAATGCAAAAGGAACAGTTTTCACAGACTATTATTCGCCCATTATTGCTGAGAGTGCCATCTGGAGGAGCAGGAGGAACCTACCAACGTCCCCACTTTCCTGCACTACCAAGGGCAGAGCTCACCAGCAGTACAACCTGGCAGAGTATGCACCCAACTTTCCAAAGTATACACCCACAAAAGTGGGAAGCTATTTTAAAACGCAGCATACATATCAGAATGTGGCTTGTTTTCAGATTGTTTATTTTTCATTTAAAGAAGGAATATTTAAGTGTCTTCTTTACTGATATAGTAAAGTTGCTTTTTTATTGTTAGTGATGAATGTAATATAAATTATTCACCAGGGTAAACAAAACAGTCAAACATTAATCTGAATCTCAGTTAAGAATGATAATACTGATATATCTGTAGTAGGTTAATATCTTTCAAATACTGCAAAATTCAAATGACTTTATACAAAGGAGACTATGCAGAGAAGTATGAGAGAAAAGGGAAATCTAGCTAACGGTGCTTCTTAGTTTTCTTTTTCTTTGTGGTTTTTTTTTTGGGGTTTTTTTTTTTTTTTTTTTTTCTGTGTGTGTGCACGGTGTCACTATACAGCCCACACTCGTAGTGATCCTCCTGATTTCTGCCTCCCAAGTGCTGGGATTACAGGAGCGCACCACAATGCCCAGACTCCATCACCGGCTCAAGCACACCCGGGGGCGGGCCAGCAGGGAATGCAGAGCCAGGGATCGAACCCTGGCCCCTGTGCTTACCTAAGTAACAGTGCTTCTTGTAATTCAATTAACAATCATTTTCTAATTTTGTCTCCAAAGAGCACAAGAAATTACAGTCCAACTCAGTTGATTGTAGGAGAACAGTACTACTTATTTATAGCTTTTGCATTTCACCATTTTACAAAAGTAAAAGGCCATCAACACTGAACGGGATTTTCCCCCCTCTAATTACTAGAAAAAGAAAAAAATATGCTAACATTACAAGTATAAGCAAGTCAAAATTTGAAATAATAGAAAAATGCTGGACATATTTATTACACATGAAACTTCAGCCTTCTAAAGATTCAGTTCGTCACCCATCCAGTGCCTCGATCAGACACTCTCAAGAATGGTCAGAAAGTCAGTCATCAAAACACACTAACTGTGGCCTCTCTGAGTAGCAGCTACTAGGAAATAATTAGAGGTAGCCGACAGATATTGACTATGGTTTTTGCCTTTGTACTAATTTTCTTTTTTCTTTTATTCCTTATTTTGTCTCACTTAGCATAATGCTGCTGTTCCTACAACACTGAACAAGAATGGAATGTGAATAGTACAATCCTAAATAAATGAATTGCTCAATCACCTATGATCATCTATACATACACCATCTTCAAAAAGTACGTCAGTTTTCTATCATCAAGGAAACAGTGACCTCCTTTTATGCAATATGCATGACAGTTTTGGTCAATGCAATTGTGGCACTCACACTTATGTCTATGAAGAAAAACTCTGCAGTTCTTTGGCATTCATCATTTGATAAATGCAAGTATTTTCTGTATCAATCAGCTCTTACTGAACTTACTGGCAGTGACTGTGGAATCCTTAAGGGCCCATTAAATTTCTGAAGAAGAAAGCTAAGATGAAGGACATGCCACTCCAAATTCATGTGCTACTTGGCCTAGCTATAACTTCACTAGTACAAGCTGTAGATAAAAAGGTGGACTGCCCACAATTATGCACATGTGAAATCAGACCTTGGTTCACACCCACATCTGTGTATATGGAAGCATCTACAGTGGATTGTAATGATTTAGGTCTTTTAACTTTCCCAGCCAGACTGCCTGCTGACACACAGATACTGCTCCTACAGACTAACAATATTGCAAAAGTTGAGTATTCCACAGACTTTCCAGTAAACCTCACTGGCCTGGATTTATCTCAAAACAATTTATCTTCAGTCACCAATATTAATGTAAAGAAGATGTCTCAGCTTCTGTCTGTGTACCTAGAGGAAAACAAACTTACTGAACTACCTGAAAAATGTCTGTCTGGCCTGAGTAACTTGCAAGAACTCTATATTAATCACAACTTGCTTTCTACAATTTCACCTGGAGCCTTTATTGGCCTTCAGAATCTTCTTCGACTTCATCTCAATTCAAATAGACTGCAGATGATCAATAGCAAGTGGTTTGATGCTCTTCCAAATCTAGAGATTCTGATGATTGGGGAAAATCCAATCATACAGATAAAAGACATGAACTTTAAGCCTCTTATCAATCTTCGAAGTCTGGTTATAGCTGGTATAAATCTCACAGAAATACCAGACAATGCCTTGGTGGGACTTGAAAACTTAGAAAGCATCTCTTTTTATGACAACAGGCTTATTAGGGTGCCCCATGTTGCTCTTCAAAAAGTTGCAAACCTCAAATTTTTAGACCTCAATAAAAATCCTATCAATAGAATACGAAGGGGTGATTTCAGCAATATGCTACACTTAAAAGAGTTGGGGATAAATAATATGCCTGAGCTGATTTCCATTGACAGTCTTGCTGTGGATAACCTACCAGATTTAAGAAAAATAGAAGCTACTAATAACCCCAGATTGTCTTATATTCACCCTAATGCATTTTTCAGACTTCCCAAGCTGGAGTCCCTCATGCTGAATAGCAATGCCCTTAGTGCCCTGTACCACGGTACCATTGAGTCACTGCCAAACCTCAAGGAAGTCAGCATTCATAGCAACCCCATCAGGTGTGACTGTGTCATACGTTGGATTAATATGAATAAAACCAACATTCGATTTATGGAGCCAGATTCACTATTTTGTGTGGACCCACCAGAATTCCAAGGTCAGAATGTCCGGCAAGTGCATTTCAGAGATATGATGGAAATTTGCCTTCCTCTTATAGCTCCTGAGAGTTTTCCTTCTAATTTGGATGTAGAAGCTGATGGCTATGTGTCTCTCCATTGTCGAGCTACTGCAGAGCCACAGCCTGAAATCTACTGGATAACACCTTCTGGTCAAAAGCTCTTGCCTAATACTCTGACAGATAAGTTCTATGTCCATTCTGAAGGCACACTAGATATAAGTGGCATCACCCCAAAAGAAGCGGGCTTATATACTTGCATAGCAACTAACCTTGTTGGTGCTGACTTGAAGTCTGTTATGATAAAAGTAGATGGCTCTTTCCCCCAGGATAACAACAGTTCTTTGAACATTAAAATAAGAGATATTCGGGCCAATTCAGTTCTGGTGTCTTGGAAAGCAAGATCCAAAATTCTCAAATCCAGTGTGAGATGGACCGCGTTTGTCAAGACGGAAAATTTTCATGCTGCCCAGAGCGCTCGAATACCAGCTGATGTCAAGGTATACAATCTTACTCATCTAAACCCATCCACTGAGTATAAAATTTGCATTGATATTCCCACCATCTACCAGAAAGTCAGAACCCAATGTGTAAACATCACAACAAAAGCTTCAGACCCTGATCAAAAGGAATATGAAAAGGGTAATGCCACAATATTGATGGCCTGCCTTGGAGGCCTTCTGGGGATTATTGGTGTGATGTGTCTTTTCATCTGCCTCTCTCAAGAAATGAACTGCGATGGTGGATATAGCTACATGCAGAATTACTTACACAAACCAACCTTTGCATTCAGTGAGCTTTATCCTCCTCTGATAAACCTTTGGGAAACTGGTAAAGAAAAATCTACATCCTTGGAAGTGAAAGCAACCGTTATAGGTGTGCCAACAAATATGTCCTAAAAATAAAAAAAATTAAAAAGAAACACTAAACCTACTTCAAAGAAAAACTCAATATTGAAGTTGTGCTAAAAAACAGGAAGAAAAATATTAACTTTCTATAAAGAAGGTTAAGCTTCACCAGTGCTGCTCCTGACCAATGGAAATCTGTACAAGTTCAGCATTTCAATTAACTGAATTCAAAGGGTACAGTGGCAACCAAATAAAATAATTCCATTTTCTAGAACTTTCATGTAACTTTTATGTCTGGACTACAGTTAAAGTGGTCAAAAACATTTCGGTATTTTTTTTAAGTATATAAGAGTAGTTGAACTGAGCAATACCTCCTCCTGTGTTGTATTACACATATTAGCCACGAGTTTTTGCAGTGACCAGATAAAATTGATTGATGCGTGGTGTAATTAAAAGGACAAATTCTGTAGAGTAGACACAGTGAGTATGTGGACCTCTTTTATAAGGAAAAATACATTTTGGATTAAAACCAATTGCTTTTGTCTTGTTTTGTTTATAAGTAAAGAATGATTTCTGGGAAACATCATTTGATCAGATATTTCAATTAAAGATTTTTCAAAAGTGTTTTCAATAACGAAGTTTGCATTGCTAAGAGTGAGACACTTTTATGGGGTTATGTGACTACATTTTCATAATGCAAAAATGGAACCTAGCATTCTACCAACATAAAATGAAATCATAATATTGTATTTAATACTTTGATTATTGATTAAAATACATCTCCCAGGAAATTATATGTTCACTTAAAGATTTTTCTTAACAAGAAGCCTTGGAGTGGATTTAATTGTTAATTTCAGATAATGTAAATGCAAAACCTGAAAAATTCATCTTATTTTAATAAATAATAGTAGCATAGCTTCAGGTTGCTGCTGCTGCTGCAGAGAATGTTACTGAATTTCAGTTGCACTTACAATCTAGGTACAGTTTTCAATTCTCTCCATAACTTACAACACTAAGTGACCCTCACCTAAATTAAGCAAATAATAAATTGCTATGACTCAATCACAGAAAGTGGGAAAAACATGTTTCACATGAAAACTAGGATTTTAGAATTTCATCAAAAATATATCAGATTAGTACAAAGTTTGTCAAGTTGAGCTTAATGAAATTCTACTTTTATTTTGTTCATTGTTGTATAAAAAGCATATAACTAGAATAATTCCAGAGTTGGAATAAAAATTGGAGAGCACAATTTGTTAACTAAATACTTCTGCAAGTAACTTAGAATAAAAGGAAAGTAGACAGTGCAGTCCTCCAAGACTATATTTAAGGCACCTAAATAACAGAGTTTAAAAGTTCCAACTTGCTGAAATGAAGTGGCAAGAATTTAGTAGTTGTTTGAAAATACTGTACAGAAAATGAAAGAACTTCACTTGGAGTGGGGGCAGAGGGCTAAGATCATTGAGAGTTTTATTCATTTTAAAAAATCCAGTCTTAAAAAAATGTATTTCTGTACAAAGAAAAGCACCCTGAAATATTGGAAAACTCTGTGCTCTAAAGCTATATTTTTAAGGACAAAATACTTGTCTCTACAAAACTATATGACTTTCATGCTAATTGCTACTGTACCTGCTAATAAGTATTTAACTTTTCTTACAATAGCTTGCTGCATATTATCAACATGTCACTGGCCTGTAAACATTCCCAGCACTGTAGTCATATCAACTTATTTATTAGTATTAGATATTTCTTTTGTGACAGCATTGACAGATTCTAATTAAATCCTAGCTGGTTTTGACAATGTGGAAGGTAATTGTTATGAACTCTTTAAAAGGAAAGGACAAACTGCTAATTTCAACACAAACAAAATATGGAACTTCCTAATTTAATATGTTTCCCAAACACAGATTTTACAACCTGATGAATCACTATTACACAGAGGCTGACATTAGAATTCATCAGCAAGACATGCTCATACATCATGAGAGGTCTCAGCACCTCTGACAAGAGCTTTTCAGAGCTCGGCTATTAGTCAAAAATTTATGGGCTGCAATATGACCTATTAGGATGCAGGTATTGATAGGTCAGCAAGAATTTGGGCAGGTATCTTCTGCGTTTCTCTGAAACTTGGCTTCAGGACAAATAATCACAAACACATCACACAGCTGAGAATGCACTTCAAGCTACCTATTTCCTATGAAAATTGTTGTGAAATAAGCTCTCTAACTAGATATCAACAAGGAAACAACAAAGTGAAGCATTTTAGTTATAGCCAAATAATTACAAATTCACAAAACTATGATTCTACTTATTTGCTTAAATTTTAATCTAATATAGACAGGAAGAGAAAAAGATATTCGACACAGTAATAAGAAAGGTATTCTATATCCCCTATACTATTTGCTAACCCTCAACTAAAATTAACTAAGCAATGGTCAGAGTACTGCAAACATAAAACTTACAATTTTGTCACACATAGGGATGCATCTGTTGCAGCAGAAAAGTTTACTTATGACAAACAGAACTCTAAAGTTGATACCTTTACGAATTCCAACTTTTCAGCTAAACTTGTACGGAGAAAGGCAGTTTTCACAAAAATGATTTTGAAAGAATTTTGTATTTTCAAGTTCATGCTACAAAATAAAATTCCCATCTTCTGAAAAGAAGTCCAACTGAGTACAAAAATACAGTCTTATATTATATAACTAAGTTTCAATCAACAACAGGTTGCACATAAAAAATTATTCTTACAAGACTGCAGTTGAGCAGGAAAATTCCTCTCACCTAGCAATGTCCTAACTGTCCTAACACCATAGCACGGGACATCATTTATGTGGTGATATTGATATAAACAAACCTATGATGTTGTTGGTTGTATAAAACTATAGCACATAAAATTATATTCACAACACAATACTTGGTAAAGGTAATAAATGACTATGTTAATGGCTTCTATATGTATGATACCTTTATTACTATTTTAGAATACAGTCACACTTACATTTTATTGTAAAACAATATCCATGTTACGCAGGTGATAGCCTCATCTCACTCATACTTACCATGTCTCTCCATTGTGTCAGAGGCCACATCAAGAGACCTATACCACCCAGCTGTGGTTAATACCTTACACTATGCTCATACAACGTTGAATCAACTGCTGATTCATCTCTCCGAATGGAACATACCCTTAAGCTAGGCATGACTGTACATAAAGAGAAGGTGGAGCAGAACGTGTTAACTATTAATAAATCCACACAGAAACATACTATCACTTTTCTAGGAAAAAATGAAACAAGTTTCAGGTTTTATCCCATTTAGACAGAAAGTTCTTAATAAAAACTATCAATAGACAAGCACAATGTACAAATGATATTTTATCTTTTGTTTACATTTAAGAAATATAGCCACTGAAAAAATAGGCTTAAACAAAACAAATTCCCTTTGCCATTTAATGACATATTCTACTGAATTTCATTTTTTATTTTAATGACAAAAACCAAAATTTCATAACAATAGAATAACAATTGTTAATATACTTGGTATTGTTACTTCAAAGTAGTTTCTCAGAGAACAAGATATAGGCATGAAAAAATTGTCCTAACAATATTAGCACAAACCTTTCTTTACAATGAACTAAGAGAAATCAGTATAACAATCAAAGAAAGGGCATCAGGGATGGGGGAAAAGAGATAAGAAGGAAGGACAAAGGAAAAAATTATACATATATATTTGCTTTTCTTTATTATTTTTCACAAATGATTTATAAACTAGATACTTAGTAAAGTCCCAGTTTTACTTCATAATTTCCCAGAATGGTAATACTCAGAATAATCACAGAATTTTTTTTTTTTTTGGTCAAAACATTTTACTCATAGAAATACGTTGATGCAGAAACTTGTTTCAAATTTATTACTGATTTCTACTAATATATCGAAAATAGCCTACCACTATCCTATAAATGTGCAAGAGGCCCTTCCACTTATGGTATGTAAATTCTGATATGTAAAAACACAAATGACAGTTATGTTTCTCTTACTTTAAACTCAGGTTTTGATCACTCAAGAAAGTAGGAAGTTAAATTCAAGAAAGCAATAGGACATTACAGTATTTTTGAGAATGAAAAACACATTGTTTTGCCTACAGTGAAATGGATAAGATTTTTCACTATCTGTGAAAGGTAAGTTTGTAATTCTACTAAAAAGAATTCCATTTCGCTAGACTCTATTTAATTCATTTAAAATCAAAGCGATGCCTGCAAGCATACACAGGGGCTGGAGGTTTGATCCCCAGGCCTGCCATGCGGGCCCCGCCCCTGGGGCACACTGGACTACAATTGAGATTGGGAGTGGTGGCATGCGCCTGTAATCCCAATTCTTGGGAGGCTGTAAACAGGCAGATCACTATGAGTCCGATCTAGTAGTGAGACCCTGAGCACCCTGTAGACCCTTCCCTAAAATACAAAAAAAAAAAAAAAGGTGATATGTCAGACACTTATAAAGTAAAATTTAAAAATAATACTCCAAAATACATATTGACTAAAAGGAAATTTTCCAATAGATTATTTCTGTAGTTCTTAAAGTACCAGGAATATTTTTCTGAATGTACATGTCACTGTTAGTGATATCTAGTCTTTACCCCAAAGTTGATTTTCCTGGAGATGAAGGGATAATAAACAGAAATTAAAAGTCTGGCCCATAAATTCCTTGATCCAATATTTTTTTTAATTTTTCAAGATAAACACAGCCCATAAGTAAAGGTTTTATGAAGGATATGATTGCCTCAGGTGTGTCTACACTGTATCTAGGATCCTAAATGCTAATAATGGGATAGGTTAAGTAGAGAAATCTAGAAAGATACCATTTTTCATACCTGGTTCTACAGCTCTACTTCAGTGAAATCCTTGTATCCTAATTAATACATCATTGACTAAGTTATTGCTTGAGGGAACTAGCACTGTAGTAGAATGAAATGGACATGCTACCAATCAAGTGCAACCAGTGCCAAGGTGTTCTGGAAAAAGAAACATTTGGGCTCCAGTGCCAGCACAACAGTGACTGCTTTTATGTGTTTACTTGAGAAGTC